GAAACCACAGACATGATATTGTGTGTAATCTAATGTTCAGAGGCCACAGGAAGTGCAGCCTTATGGCCTTCATGGGCTCAGCCTTCAGGTCGCCGGTGGCATGGATAATATTGTGATTATAATCTGATATAATATTTTGATAAGATTCGATTCTCTATTGTTAACTGATCTTCTGTACATATTGCAGGGAGCCACAGCCAGCTGCTCAGATGAAGTAACTGGCCGCGTCAGCAAGGTGAGACACCTTCACTATGCCCTTCCTGTCATGAAGAAAACTCAGTTAATTCTGTTGTTAAAAAAGATTATTTTCGCCCCAAATTAAGTGCATTTTACTGCAGCTTACTTATTTTCACGTTAGTCTAAACCTAATTCTTACTTTTAACCCTATTTCTGTCTTCAAAAGCAAAAAATGCTCTAAACTTTCTGTTAAAGATGTTAACTTTACAATTTTTAGGCACTGTCCTTCTTGCCTCTGATTTCTAAACATAATTATAGTAAGTCTTCATTTTTGAGTCCTCAAAGGGATTTTTCTGACCGGGTGGAACGAGAACAGAAGCGTATTTTTTAACTGACCTTGAGCCCACCGCGCTTTGTGTGTTAAGTTCTCAAACTAAAGCTTTCCTTTTTCTTGTTTGAGAGCACTGTAAAAAAAAAACGCCATCATGAGGTGAATTATGGCTTATGTTGTGTGTGTGTGTGTCTGTGCACTCCTGTTTATTATTGCACAGTACTTACATGTATAGATTGGTACATTACTTTATTGATACACCTCAGGTGTCCTCAAGCCATACCTGCATCGTACCCAAGGAAACATATTAATAACTGGGGATAACAAAATAAAGGAAAGTGCAAAAACATTATACCTTGTTATGAAACCGGAGAGAACTGTTGTCAATACAAATGTCCCCTCAGGAATACAAACCCAAACACAGGTTACACTGTACACGCCATCCCCGCAAATATAGATATGTTCTTACCAATGTACAGTTCACATATTGACTGGAGTTTAGGGGGTGTTTACCCCCCGTTGGGCAGAACTCCCTCCCAGAGAACAACCACGGCGTCGCCGAAACATCTGTATCTGAAAGCTTTTCATTGGTTCGGCCTGTTATGAGCAGCATGTACTGCAGTAGGAAACACTACACGGGAGCCTCCGTTCCAGTAGTTTAAGCTACTATTGAGAATATTTCTATTTTAATATAGAGACTTAAAACGAAGATAAAAGTCTCAAATGATTACACTACCCTGTTTGCAAGAACTGATTTCTCTAAATGATCTGCGCTAAACTTAAAAGTTAAACAAATCTCCTTCGTATGACATTACCTGGTTACTATACAACCCAAAGCACAAACTACACTGGCAGATTAATCCAAAAGACATTGTTCTACATGCTGTTACACAGACATATAAACTTGAACATATCCAAAGCGAATCAAATTTCTTTTCATTTCCTCTTTCATGTTCCCATCTGCCTCCCTTTCCAGGCCTGTTTTCATAATCTATCAATCCCCGCTGTTTGCCAGACAAGGTCACATCACCGGGTCAGGTTTTCTAAGAACAGACCCACACGGATAGAGACACGTGACAAACACACGTTTCCCTTTGCAATCTAAGCACATATACAAATGAGACCCTCGCACCTCTGACCACCCTGGATTAATCAATTGGATAAAACAATCTTTTACAACCGTGCTCCTCCAGGGCCGTTATCTCAGGCGTTATGCGGCCTGCATAAATCATAAATCAGACCAATCTGGTGATTGCAGTAGTGATAGAACCTGCTTCTGCACCGGACTAATCTTATGTCCCTCCCCCCGAAACGCATAATAACAATAATGACAATAATAATATCCACGTCAGGGCCAGCTCATAAATATCAGGACCAATCTGCCTTGAGGGACGGTGAATGTGCATAAAAAAACAACTCAAATGAGGGGCAAGTGAGCGCTCTGCCAGTGTTGTTGTGCATGTTTCTGAAAAAGAGAGGGAGACAAACAGTAGCATTTCTCCTGAAGACTGCAGAGTGACCCCTCACATGCATATTTTGCTCATTTGTATGTGTGATTGTGTGCCTGAGTGTATTTGTGTGTCCTCCTATGGTGCATGAGTGATGACTTCAAGCAACTGTGACCCCCACACATCACCCCTCCATGCATATAAAAACAGCCTACTGCTTTAATATCCCCATTTAATGACTAGCCCCAGTGAAAGACCATTAACGTAATGACATCACACTGGCCATCTCACCCACACACGCACACACACAAACCCTGCACATAAAAGCATACTTATTATGAACAGGGACATTCTCTTCTTTGTCTAATGAACAATGAATTAACAGTAGAGGTAAAATGTGTTTCTTTACTATCTCTGTACGAGTACAGTTATGTCTTCATCTTAATAGTAGATCTTTACAATTGTTTGTCCACATATAGGCTGCAATGTGCGTGTGTGTGTGTGTGTGTGCATGTGTGTGTGTGTTATGGAATATGAGCATGTGTAAATGCAGCAGAGTTGGGGGGGGGGGCAGTTTCATCTTACTAATTCAAGGACAGTTTCTAATCATGCAGAGTGAATACATGGAAACATTACGGGAACATATGCATTAACCTCGTGCATATTTACGTCCTGGACATGCACACGCACGCACAAACGCACGCTCGCATGATGACTGCACACAAGCAATTTGTAATATTGAATAGCTGACACAGTAAGATTTCATGATCTATTGACAGTGTCACAGCACCGTCATGCAAGGTGGTGCAGCTGTTGATAAACGCAGCATCTGTGTTCCTTTATTTGGGCTGATGTAACTTGGTGCAAACAGTATCACCCAAGGCCTCTGTTGATGACATCATAGCACCCATGGGGGCCGAGGACTCCCTAAAGCAGGGCTTTCCCTTACTCACTGTATTGGAGCTGTGTCAGAGGTAGTTTTTGTATTTGTTGCAACGTAATGACACTCGAACACGATGAAGGATTTGAGTACTTTATTGTGTTCAATCCAGAAAATGTATATTTATTGCATTAATTACAAAATTACACAACGTTGTAGCGCTTTCTTGAAATGTTTCTAAAGCGAAACACAGAATATATATTTTTATTTTTGAAAGAGAAAACAAGCTAACAAAGACATTTGTTAGATGTTGAATGATGAATTAAAATAACTCCAACCAGAAAGTCTGCAAATTCCTTTTTTATAGACACACACAACATGAACGTACATGGGCTGGATACACAAGCGTGTCCATACTCTCAAATGCAAAAAAAACATAGTCTCAGACAATAGAGAAGAGTCCCTCATAAACGAACCGCATAGAACTAAGTGCTGCATCGTCAACAGTCTAATTCTAATCAGTGGGCCAATACAGTTGATATACTATACCTCGGGACACTATTCCCCCCCATGGTGGCAATTATCGCACACCCGAGATCCCAGAACAACACTTGCAAACAGCCATACATACGCCCTCCACGTCATTTTTGTGCCTCCAATTAGAATTTTTAATATCCTCGTCGGCGTTAATGGAGATTAATGGCCAATCGCCATGGCGAATTCCATCGTCATCTATTATCATTCCAGCCTCGGTCCAAGTCCGCTCTAATTACATTCTCAAAATGCCCTCCCGCTCAGCAACCCGAAGCACCCTCAGATCAATCAATAATTTTAATTTTTGGATGCCCCTAAACATCGCTCCCGTCCCTACCCTCGTCCTCCGCTTTCGCTCCTTTCTTCCTTCTCCGCCCGCGTCGATTTGTTTCCAAAGAAAATTAAATGCCGTAGAATAAGGGCTTTATGGAGAATTAATTGCCCATGTCCACCGTAGCTCCCTTTTGAGTCCTTCGTTTGTTCGTCCGTTTTTGCAGTCGCTCGTCCCCTTGATTCTCCGTGCGTCTGCTACTGTATGTCTCTCCTCTTTCGCCCCTTCTCTGTCTGGCGCGTGGGGGGGGGGGGGGCGCCTTCCACTCGTTTTCCCCCCTTCTCGTCACATAATTAGCATGCAGATATGCATTGCCTGATTCGCAAGTCAAATTGCCTCGCCATCTCCCTCCCCGCGTCTCTGCTCGATTTTTGCGCGTCTGATTGTTCTTATTCAAATAGGATGTTTGATTTCGGTGTCTACGGAACCCCCCACCCCATCCAGTCTACTCAAACACACAGACATGCATATGGACGTACATAGTTTGTGATAACATTCCTCTTTATCTGCACGCGGCAGAGCTTCGCCCAATCTACTCCCGCACTCTGCCTCGCTGCTAATCATGCAAAAACAAGCAAAATGGGAAAAATGTAACCCGTTTCTAATCTTGTGGTGGTTTCCAAACACCTCGGGGTGTTCTAGCCTGCATAAGCCTCTTCTTCTGTACGGCCAACAGCGTGTACCAGTCTGCCAATAACACTCTGCATAGCTCAAACAGACAAGAATACAGTGGAGTGTGTGTGTTTTGCCCCCGCCCAACCCCAAACCCTACACAAATATATTTCTCCTCCCTCCCTGTCCTCCTCACACACACGGAGCACGTCTGCTGGTCCACCAAGATGTTTGCTCAGCACATTTCAATACGAACATCATGATACTCCATCCGGCTGTCATCCGTTTCGCTTGTCGCGAACCAGCTCAAGCCACCGGCTTTTTGTTTCTGAAACAAAATGACGTTACTTTCCCCAGTAAAACTCAAACGCCATTGTGTATTGAAAGAAAGAATGAAGTTTGAGGTGGGTTGCAGTATATATTTTTGATGGCCATGAAAAAAGAAATGCGAAGAGAGTCAATATTTGACCTTCGACACGTTGCATAAATACAGGTCAAATTAAAGGCCAGACCTCGATCCTCCTCCTTCATTTCGCTTTAGGCTCTCATACATACTAAAGTGCCTCGCCCGATGCAAACAGTGATATTGAATAATTAAATCAACACCATTCTTGCCCACATAGGGGGTGAGGAAAGTGCAATGGCCCCATTCGGGGAATATGGCGAGTGTAAGGCGGTGTGCTCTGGTCATGGATACGCCTTCAACCGGATCCCCTTCACACGTGACCACGGCACATAAACACACAGACAGCAACAAGTGTCGGGCTGTAGGGGGGGGGAGGTTTCCCTGCATAGTCATGCCTTGGTATTGTTGGCACAGGGCCAGCGTTGCCATCTGTCTCCTCTCCCCCTTTTCCTGTCTCTCCTCCTCCTCCTCCTCCCTCCTCCAAGCCAATCTGCTCTACATTTGCTATCATTACGTGCCTGCCATCCTTATGGCATATCAGAGGCAGACGCCAGGCACCCTTTACCCCTCTCTCTCTCTCTCTCTCTCTCTCTCTCTCTTTCTCTCTCCCTCTCCTTCCCCTCACGCCCCTCTCTTCACGCCCCTATTTCCGCGCCCACTTTGCCACGGAGTTCTCTACAGGGTCCAGGTGGCATCTTGCCCTGCTCTCTTCTCGGAGCCACGACGGAAAACAAAGAAGTGCAGCGAAGAGAACAAAAAAAAAAATGCCCGAAAACGAGGATACACTCCTTTCCACATCCTGCTTGGAGCCCGCTGTGCTTCCTGTGCCCACAGGCTCGGTGTTGGTTTGTTGTTGTTGTTGTTGTCGTTGCTGCTGAATTCCATGGTGCTTCTTCCTGTGGAGCTGGGAAGTAAACCTTTTCAAATCGTGGAACTTCTCTGGCTTTGGTGCCATTAACTGGACCCTGGTACGTCTCATATACCCCCCCCCCCCCCACACACACACACACACACGCGCGCGCATACATGCACGTAGATGCTGCAGAGTGTTTCTCAGAGCTCCCTGCCACTTCCTCTGGCTGCTGCCTCGAAAGAACTGGGAATACTATGGGATCTGCAAGAGACTCACTCACACATACACACAGGCACACGCCGGATTTAATACGCACGTGCACTCGCCGGTCGTTTGAGGCTGCGGGAAAGTGAATAATCAATTAAGTATTGATTTCTTGTAAGATTTTGTAAATTTCAAAGGCAAAGACAAAGAGGGTAGCTTAAGGAGAGCCGCCGCCAGCGAGAGGAGCCGCAAATTAGCCGATAAACACAGATGGGGGAGTAAACGAAGGTGAACGAACGAGCCGCTCGTCAATGCAAAACGCTTCCGTTTATTTTTGTTTTTTCTATTGTTTCTTCATGCCCCTCCAGACGAATTCATTCTCGACGCGACAATGGTTTCCTATGGAGACGAAGGGATGGCGATTGGACGAGCGAGGGTTAAAAGCGAGCGCTGCAGGAGGAGAGAGAGAGTCACTGGAGGACTTGCTAATTAGGCAGCGGCAACACGAGCCTCATCTGCATGCGGGGTATGCAAATTGACCGGCTGGCTCTTTCTTTTTGTCCCGGATCAGAAGGCGAGAGCTGCAGAGAAGAATTAAGAGCCATTATTCTACCCAAGGAGAGGCTGATGTATGCAGAAGAGGGGGATGAGGATGAGAGGAAAGAACACTTTTACCACAGAGATGTACAATGGACTCCACTGGAAAGGAGAGTCAAATACAATCACACAAACGCACTCTTATTCTCTCGCACAGCCTGGAAGATCCTTCTACATTTGAGGTGGAAATTGCGAAAGAGAAAACGGCAATCACGCACCTTTATTTGCCGTTATGCCTATCTCCACATATCGATAGGCTGCTTTGTGGATGATAATTACCTTTTGGAATATCGAATCCCGAAAACGAGCCACGGAAACGAAGGAACAAGAAGAAAGGACAGAAAAAAGAGCGGAGGTATGCAAAGGCGCTAATGATATTCACAGCGCCGCGTGTGTCATCTGCATGATGACAACGGCCAATTATAATGAACCATTGGCTCTCTGACATAGATAAGTAGGAGAGAAAAGGATATGGGTGAAAAGGAGCGCGAAAAAAAAAAAAAAACTTCTGCGATCCTTCTTAATTTGCCGCTGATATTTTCAGATTTCGTGTCGTGTGGATTTACAGTGACGATACATCTTGAAAAAAAAAAGACAACCTCTCCTCGCACTGTCCCATAAATGGAATAAAAAGGCCACAGAAGATGAGGGCGTCCCTCCACGCAGGATTTATGGCTGCTCGTGGTGGTATTCCATCGCCATGTTGTTGGTCAACGGGACTGGTTCTGATGGCACCTGTTCCCGTGCCAACCATCGCTCTGACGAGCCAAAGAATCTGTTGGAAATCACACCCACTAGGACGAGCGTACACACACACACACACACACACACACGGCGGCATCTTTCTGTCGACTCCCCTTCCTCATCACACTACAAAATGCCTCCCCATCACCGTTTTGCATATTCGCATGGCGCCCCGCCTGCCACAAAGGACTAAACAGCCGTATGCAAAACAGTCTGGTATCCCCACTTACATAGCGATGAGACGAACAGCGTGAGAAAGAGGGGGCGGGAGCTGGGCGGGGGGTAAAACACGATGGTGGGAGGGAAGCACGATGATGTTGGGTTGGGCGGAGGGGGGGGTAGGAGGGCCACAGGGGAGCTTGTTGGCATAAAAACGGGGCACGTGCGGTGATACCACTCCTACTACACGATGACAGGAAGAGGCGGGCGTGGGAAAAAGGGTGGTGGAGTGGGATGGGGGGGGTGAAAGGGAGGGGCGAGGCGGGAGAAGGGGGATGAGGGCATGTTGGCACCGAGAGGGGGCACGTGTTGCCAGAGAAGGAGGGGCCACGTGGGTGGGCGAGGTGCAGCAGGAGGTGCGGGGATGGGGGTGTGTGGGGGGTGGAACCATACGCAGACGAGGAAGGGCGTTCGCATGGAGGGGCCACCTGCATTAAGGAGGAATGTCACACCATTAAAACACAAGACGCACAGTCACACACACACACACACACACACACACACACACACCTCATATCAGACCACGGGGAATATGCCAGGAGGGGGGGGGCTGCCACGTCTGTGACAAAGCAGGGTAACTTCCATGTAAAACACCCACGTGTGCCTGCGCGGACCTGCAGGGGTGCCAGCGACGTGTGCTCTCTCACACTCACACCACTTCTGTGCATATGCAGATCCATCAGGAGGCTCCGTCTCGCGCTGCAGACCTGGCAACACGCCAAAGATGTACACGCTGTTGGCCTGGTAGAAAGAAAAGACGCACACGCACACATGTATTGGACCGTCTTTTGATTCAAAGATTCAAGATTCAAAGATTTGATGAACTGATTTAGGTGTTTGATTAAAGGAGTTTTCCTTTGAAGAATTCCTAACCCTTTTTTGTAGCATGTTTGATGGCAGAAGGCTACACTGCATTCTGTATCAGTATAGATTTTAGGCTGTTTTTTTTAACACGCTTTGTAAACTGACTTTTATATATTCTACCTTGCTATCATATTTCGAAATTTCATTTCAGTTGCATTTAATTGTTCAAATGAAATGTGCCCAATGACGACCAATGGAGGCCTTGGATGATTTTCATGTTTAAATTCTGTTCCATTAAAAAATGACCGATTTTTGTACATCTCTTTTGCAGTTGCACAAAGTAAATGTCTGTTAAATTGTCAACATCTGAAGTAAATATTGTCTCTTTGGAGGACGAGATCTGAGATTAGCTCAGCTGTAAGTTGTATGTCTAAACCTTGACCTTGGTGACAAAAAAAAAACCCTAAATTGGTTTGACTCTAGTCAAGAGTTCACGTTCGCCATCTTAGTAATCCAGTGGCGAGTTGATTTGATTATTTTCGCATTCACTTCTAGTTTAAAAGCGATAGTAGTTTCATATGTCCTTCTTGAGATGCAAGACTATTGCTTTTAGCCTCGCTAAGTGAATCATCAGTGGCAGTATCAAATTACCCTCAACAGAGACCAAAGGTTACTTAAAGGCCTTTTAGTCATCCACGCTGGCATGCCAGCTAATTTACAGCAGACTCATTAGACCGGCATTAAACACAATTTCCTGCCGACAAATTTCATTTGGTAGAAAAATCATTACCATGGCAATAATAAACAAGCTTATACAGTAGTGGCTAATGGCAATTTAAGTAACCTAACGTCGTTAGCAAACCCCAGAAATAGCAACAGTAGCTTAAGCGGCTAGAATGAAAGCTGTGTTTAACATGGATGTTGACATGGCGAGTGTTAAGAATACTTTAGAGTTTTTACTTCTCTCTGTTTTCTTTCTTAAGCTATGTCTTAGGCCTGGGCTATGACAGTGGAAATATAATGTTTCATAACTGTCAGTGCACGGGGTTGTGTGTAGCCCGGGGTTGCTGTGCTGAACAATAAACCATAATTTGATAGATGAGAAATTACAGCGGTCCATCTACGGTGCAGGGCCTCCACCCCGGGCAACGCAATACCGCGCCAGATGATGTGTCACATTTCTCCCAGAGAGGGAGAAAAATGGAATTGTTCTTTTATTCTTTGTTAATAATGTCTGCCTGTGTTTTGAATGTAGCATCCCTGTTTGTCTTATGTAGATAGACTAACACAACAGATACGGTACGCGGCCTCTCTGTGGCATTGCCAATTGTTGTTATCGCAGCTCTCTCACAAGGTGCAGGCAGAGTTCCTGTGTCGCATATGCCGTTGAGCACGCCACTGATTTGTAATAAACGGTCGCTAAACGCCGACCTCTTCCTCTGTCCCACACGAGAAGAGCCACTACGTACGGGGGGGATAAGTATCACGGCAAGCCCACCTCTGTTAGCCGATGCATACGCTATTAGCGAGTGCATAACTTTTGAGTAAGACATGGATTTGCCACGGAGCAGGTTGGAAATGATGTGTTTCCTGTGACATTGTGACTGAGGACTACTCAGACCGGCCATTAGTACCCCTGGAGCACGCTCCAGTGCCGTATCATTTGTGTCAAGCACACAAGACTGATTTGACTTGGTCTCACGGCGAGTGACTGACAGCCGTGTGGATAAACACAACGACTCTGCGACCCGACTGGAAACCAGTGCTCGGGTGTAAATTAGTGGGCAGCGCTGTTAACAAGTGTAAGCGGGGACATTTTAAGTGCAAATATTTAACTGGGGATGTACGGCAGTATGCTGAGGCGAAGGTAAAAAGTGTGCGCGGTGAAGGGCAGCTATTTATCATCCCTGTTTTGTAATGGGTTGCTTTTGTAATTACACCACTAGGGTCACTGCGAGGGTTGTGTTAACTTTCACCGTGCCCACATCTTTTCAGATCCGCCTCAAGCACAGCTTCTCAACGTCAGCCCGCGCGTGTCGTAAACTCCGTCCACCAAGACAGTTCCGCCGTGAAGAACATGATATTTTTTTCGAGCCACGTTTCAAAGGCTCCTGCCAATCTGCGGGAAGGTTCATCCCACTCCTTTTGTTTTGCTGGTCTGCAGCGGTGCTGAAGTCCACGGTGGAAAACATTCTGTCCTCTTTTTGAAGCCATTGAGGCTCACATCCTCCCAAGGTGGTGATGTCATGTGAAATGAATGGCTTTTATTCTTCAGTAATTTTATGATCTTGGCTTGAAACCGTATATCCAATTCCATTCCTATTAAGGAACCCCCCCACCCCCCCTCCTCCCTTTTCATTTTTTTTTTAACAAGAGCGATCTGATAGATGTTCAGAAGGATGTTTTTTTTTTTTTCTTCCCCTTTGTTCTGGTCAGTGGGCTCATGTGCGATGTTTATTAGATTAAAAGTCAGTCACTGCGACGAGAGAAAAGGTGAAAAAAATGCAAAACACAAATGAGGAGCCCATCGCTGCCACCGGCAGCACGTTCTCTGTGGGTCTTTCCTTTATTTTTTTATTACAAATTGGGGCCAAATCACTTTGGAAGGCACCGGTGAGGGGAGGGACAGATTTGCCTGTGATTTAGAGCAGCGATATCAAGTGCAGCATTTATGATCAGAACTTGCTTTTGTGTCTGACAATTAATGGGACTCCAGCCGTTTTTTACGGCCCCCGGATTCAAACAGCGGCTTGCGCCTTTCATAGCGATGATAGAGTGGACACGGGTAAGAATATACATATGTGGAATCCATGAAGGGGTAGCAAATGCTTCACGTGGGAAAAGGGAAGTTGGGCCGGGAGAGTTCATCCTCCACATCTCAATTGTCACGGCAGCTTTTATGATGTACAACATAGTGGGGGCTGCCATGTTCTGGTACTTCACATGTCCCTGAATTGTTCCAACTGTGACCAAAAATGACTCACTCACACTGCGGGTCTCTTTTTCTTCTTGGACTGTGCAAGACTGGGTTGTATTTAATCAGGCCAAATGCACAAATAAACTCATGTGGGCCGACTCCACGACTGTTAAAGTGGAGGGGAAAAACGGTTCTTTTTATTTGAAAGTATAAAAAAAAAGCTGCTTGGCACTGAGTGATTTTTTTTTTATGATCTTTGATGAGTTGGGGATATATAACGCCGCTATTCCCCCATAAAACATGTATATATGGCTTTGAATGCAGTCTTTATTGCCCGGTTTTTGTTTGATGGCTTTCTCACACAGCCCATCTAAATATTTAACCAGTGTTGACCCTGGTTTTCCATTATTTCCTCAATTATTTGCATAATTGCAAATAAGTGAGAACATGCCCATTGTAAAAACATATTTTGGTTTGTAGGGTCTCAAAAGCAGCCTACTCTCTAGTTTGTGTAATGTCTTTTCACTCTTTGAATATGCACGCAGTCTAGTAAATTAGGTAATGTATTTTTCATTGTTTGAAAATGTTTTCCAAATGCAGCCATGAAGTATTCTTTGTGTGGGTGTTTTTCCGTAGAGGCCCCTCCTAGCATTGGATAATAATAAGGAACATCGGAACATTTGAATTGGAAATGTTCTGTTAGGCGTGCGCTCATATTTATACCGTCTGAGAAGTTGGTCTTGCGTGGTTGTGAGGAGAGACCCTTCTGTGTGCTTAATGTGTATTATGTTTGCCGGTGAGCTTCTTTGTTGTTCGAGAGAGTCCATTCGGATTGGTTTTACCCGCCGCGCCGTCCACCCGCTGTGCTTAGTCCTCAGTGTACTTCCTTTTGTCCCTTCAGACCCACTC